TAAGTGGCAAATTAACTTTACAATATTTAAACAAAGTAATAATATAAATAACACAAAATTAATTACTATAAGTATGCTAAGTACCAATGCTACTTCTAACTTTAATAGTAGTATTAATGATACACCGTAAAAAGTACTTAGTCAATGAATTTTTGAAGTGAATTTATGAGTGCATCAGTAGTATAGTAATTTTTCTAAATTGTAAAAAGATAACAGTTAAATGGTATGTTTAAAATGTTACAAAATTAGGTAAACTATATGAGCATATAGGCATCCTATTTCGTTTAGGGTGATAAGGTATATGATAAGTGAATTTTCCCAAAATGATATGAATAGACATAATATTTACTTTGAATTTCACACAGTCTTGCTCTCAGAAAAAATATTATCATCCAGGGCGGACTGCATTTTCGACCTCGCCTAGGTCTTATCAACACCCTCCTACAATGGCACTGCAGCTTATAATCTCAACAAATTAACCACATCACCACATTGACACGGGTGCCCTTTGGTCACAAGGCAGATGTGATTACCAGTCTCCTTATAACCCTAAACAAAATATGATGAATATATCTCATATATGCGACCTACTTGTAGTTTTGTAGGCCTAGGTATAAACGAAAAATAGGCAAATTGTTCAAATGATGACCAAGATCGTGTTGACTTAGGCTGTGTCGCAGTCCTTTTTAGCTATACAGTGTTCGTTTGACCTAGTTTTGCATCTTTTTCGGAGCGACAGATAGACAATATGTAATGTACCTAGTCCTGCATCTATAATATCCGTGATAATTTCCATAATCAAACCGTTTCCTTTAAGCTTTCTGTGAAGTCATATGAATCCTACCACACACTAATAGGCATAGCTCATTTACAGATGATAAAAACATGTTTTTTATGAAACACTAGTAAATATGTGAATTGAAGCAATCAACCAATTGAGAATACTCAATGATAGTAAAAGTTTAGAAAGGATATGACGCATGCAGATTGTGCAACTTTTGTTTTATCACGTAAGTATGATATATATATGAGCTACTATTTTGATATACCATCAGCGACAACATGAGACACTTCCCTTTTTTTTATTAGATATCAGCTTGCTTGATTGCATTCGCCGGATATTCTTATATTTTATGCTGATTTATAATAAACTCAATAAATTCATTTATAGCTCCTTTATGCACACATGCAGTATATCGCTTTGTTTATTCTAGGTTTCTACGACATTGTTGTGTTATTAAATTTCACCTATATATGTAGATATGCAGAGCAAGATGTTGTGGCCTCTATTTTGTCAGTTCTTTTCGATGTATATAAGTGGTGTGACCACGTTTTGTCAAAATTGTCGCGTTGTCAGGGCGACTTATTTTCACATAAATTTGGCGTTATGGTCAACTAAGTAGAAATCCACTCGAAAGACAGCCGGCTACCAAAGATAGACATCCAGAGTTTGCTCATGGCACACGGGTTGAATCAAGGAGATGACCCGTGAAGACAATGCTTCATTTCTTCAAGCAAAGGAATCAGATCTTTGGCGCTCTTCTTGTTAAGGCGACAATGTATGTGGTACTAAAGGCTTGAGAAATAGTGCCTGAAGTGAAGCGCACACTTGGGCTGGAACTGAGTGAAATCAGTCAACTAGAAAGATAAGAAACGGATCTACGGCCATATGATGAAAATACAGATAGGAGGCCTAAGTCGGATGAGCAAATCGAGACGGTAAGCATCAGATGTGATGAGACCACGCTAAACTAACCAAAAAAGCACGCATCTTTTGATTAGTGGAATATAACCAAGTCAGAATTTATGATAGGGCGAGTAAGAGAAATGATAGTAGGGACGGAAAGAGGAGTGATAGGACAACTGTTTAGCAGAACGTCGGCCAAGGGATTGACTTAACTCGTCTCTTTGACGAGTCGTAGGTTGGTGTTGAAATTGGCAAAACTCACTCACGCTGCCGGCGAAACTTGTTGGAAGGTACCAAGTCTACGGTCTACATTTGGGAATTATCATAACTTCTAAAGCAGAATACCGAGTACAAAGTGTGTCCGACTAGGTCGCCCTGACAACACAATCAAGTTGCAGAAACGATGTCAGACCACTTCACCACATATAGTTCTGAATGGTAATTAGAAGCTTTAATCAAATTTCTTTCGCGCACTTTTGGAACTTCACTAGGGGTAATGATGCAAACAAAGCCACGTTTTTGGGGATTTTAGAGAAGACAACATTATGCAAAAATTAGGTCTTTTTTGCAAGTAATCCGGGTTATTTTCGGTATTATTCCCTGTTGTATCATATGAAAAGTCAGATAAACTTTTGGCCCTCAGGCCTCTGAAAATCTTTATCAAACGCTTTATCAAAACATTATAACTTATCATATTTGGCGTTTTACTCAATGCTGCTCTATGGACAAGCAACTGTAACCTTCACATAAAAAAATCTGCCATGGCATCGTTCTTATTTTGCTTTATGCGCTATTTTTCTCTTCAGCATATACCTTTGCCGCCAGAACTATTTGAGGATAATTCCACTAGCTACCAGAATCTTAGAGATCCAGATGAACGGATAGCCTCAACCCTTCTAGCTGAACCATGGTTGCACGCCCAACCAGTTCCTGCTACGAACGTGGGCCTAGGCCCCATGGATGGAACCCGAGTAAGCCAAGCAACAGTCACTACAAGGGCGGACTCACTGTCTTGGAGACCTCGGATCACTGTTTCCAGACTGTCCGATTCTCCTCTCTTCCGCAGTGCTTTGCTTCGGCTGAATCCAGGCGCATTTACATCTGCTTCTCAATCTCCATTTCCACTTTAGCCCCTTCTCACGAATCTGCAGAACTAAACACTTCCAACCCATCCAGACTTTCCATGGCGATTCGCTCACTATCCAATATTTGGACTAGATCAAATAGCCCAATTGGGTCTAATGGCTTCCCTCACCTAGAAAGATCTGGATCTTTTCCGCCGATTACTCAGATACCTCCTCAATTAAGAATACTTCTGAATAACTTGATTATCTTGCAACCGAATTCTGAAAATAATACTAGATATTCACAAAATAATCAAAGTCCTCTCGATCATTCGAACTCTCTTCTTTATAGACCTTCTACTGATGAGTTTCCTCACTCTCTTACTAACATCACCAGACCTCGTTCTCCTACCCATGATTCTAGATAACAATCACAATCTTATTTGTTTCAACCTTTTTTTGATTATCTAGTCTATACATTCTTTCAATCAGCATTCATTTGATAACAGACGTTCATATAAACCGGTTGCTTACTTTTGTGAGTTGAAGGTCAATCTTGACAACTTGACAGGGAAGAGTCACAAAAGTCATTTTATTTATTAGAATTTGCTAGTAGATGGAAAGTCTTGATGTGATATCGGACTCATTAACTTTATACTATAGGTTTTCTTGATGGATATTGTTAGAAAACTTTGTAAATGATTAAAGTAAGGAAAATTTGCATTGAAACTTAAATGAGATGTATGAAGATGAAGATTGTGTGGCCTTTTGTGTGGTCGCAGTCTCTTTTCGTTTTATAGAAGTTGTTTAAACTTGTTTGCGCAACTTGGTCATATTGGTAGGAAGACTCAGAGGAATGCCCATAGTCAGAAGTCCATTGTATGCGTCATCATTTCCAAAGTCGGACCGTGGACGTGGTACTTTCCCAGACGTTTCGCTGGAGTCGTAGTTGGCATCGTCAGTGAGCATTGCCAGTTTTGGCACCACACTACAACTCGTCAAAGAGACAACTTAAGCCGATCCTTTGAATAGATATTTGCTAAATAGTTGTGGTACCCTAGGGTATTTACATTTCCTATATCCTCCTATCACACCTTCACTGTTACAATGTTCTGGTACTGCTTGCTTTGGTTATGTTCAACGCCTCGAGTAGTACAGATGGGTTGGCAAGGGCCGAGTGAAATACGTGAACCAGGGAGAGAGCAGACAGATCTTATGGGGCAAGAGAGAGACTGTGGTAAGACTTAGGGAAGGAGGACTGTGTAAAAATATGGCAGACTCTGATCAACATTCTCAGCACAAGGGTGAAAGAAGTGAGAACGACAGCGTGGAGTGTCAAGGGTTTTCATAAATGTCGCTCAAAGGAGCACACTATGTCTAAATAAGCATGGTAAAAATTGTAACTATGAGGGCGTGATAGGAGGGTATAGGAAAAGTGAATAGCCCAGGAGAGAAGGAAAGATACCACAACTGTTTAACACACGTTTGGTCAAAAGATTGACTTCACTTGTCTCTTTGACGAGTTATTGTGTGGTGCTAAGAATGGCGAGACTCACTGACGATGCCGGCGA